ATACAATTAAATAAAAATATTAAACAAACTGCTTTAAGCATCTTCACTGTAAGAAAAACACTTTAGCTACAAAAATCCTTCAGAGAAACATTTTCTCGTTATGTTTGATTAATGATAAAACAGGCGGCAGCAGGAATATTTCGCGCTGTCTCTTTAATGGTTTCTCTTTCACGTCTTTTGATTCTCAACTTGTTTGTTTATTACACAAATGGGGGCTAATATAAATAATCACGAAACACCGCGTTTTGACACCTATTTGACCATTAAAGCGCTCACGTTAATGACTTTAGATGTCTGCGCTCCTCTGCTCGTCTCAGTGTGCAAATGAGAGCGAATGCTGACTGGCCGCATGCTTCTGGCTGCGTGTGCGTGCTGCACACACACATTCGCGCTTTTAAGAGCAACGCGTGCACAGGTGGAAAGGTGGCGGTATATGATGCATATAATCGTTTATCTTGATTAATGCTTTTTTTTATAATCGTTTGAAATCGAAATCGGATTTTCGATTAATTGTACAGCCCTATATAATAGTGGAGCATTTTTATGCCTTTTTCTACCTCAATACTTATCCTCTCCCGCGCCCCCCTTGTGAACTCTGGCGCCCCCCTTAGGGGGGCGCGGACCCCAGGTTGGGAACCACTGGTTTAAATGATGCTCATTTGATACTAAAGGGTCCAAAAATGGCTAAGAAATTATTCCCCACACTATTGCACCACTACAAGTTTAAACCATTGATACAAGACTGGATGAATCCATATTTTCATTCTTTCCCGACCTAATACTGCAATAGAAATCGAGATTCATCAGACCATGCAATATTTTTTCAATCTTCTTTTGTCCAGTTTTGACCAGCCTATGCAAACTGTAAATGAAGCTGAAAGGAGTGAGCCCCGATGTGGACCTCAAGGTTTAACTTGTGAGAGATACTCTTCTACTGACCTTGGTTGCAATAACTGCTAATTTCCTATTAGCTTTAACCAGTCTGACCATTCTCTTCAGACCTCTTGCATCAGAATTCATCTTCGCCCACAGAGCTTTCGCTTACGGCATATTTTCTATATTTCAGACTATTCTATTTTATTCCAGACTCTAGACATCATTTTGCATGAAAATCTCAGTATTTCAGCAGTTTTCACCACCATCAACCATCTTTACGGCACTTAAATCAGCTGTCTTCCTCTTTCTGATGCTGGGTTTAAACTTTCACAAATCGTCTTGACCGTCACGGGGAAACAACTATACACTCTCATTCACACACACATACAATACGTACTATTTTAGTTTACCCAATTCACCTATATTGCAAGTTTTTGGACTTGTGGGGGAAACCGGAGAACCCGGAGGAAACCCACGCAAACACGGGTAGAACATGCAAACTCCACACAGAAAATGCAAACTGACCCAGCCGAGGTTTGAGCCAGCGACCTTCTTGCTGTGAGGCGACAGAGCTACCCACTGCGCCACTGCATTGCCCTGAGTTAAGCTTCTATTTGCTTAAACACACCTGCCAGGAATATCCTAGTACAGTGATCCTCAACCACCTGCAGACAGGTACCAGTCTGTGGATTAATTGGGACCAGACCACACAAGAAATCAATAATTATTTCAGTTTTAGTGTGAACAATCTTTTATTTAGAAGAACCTTTCATTTAAAAAAATTACCTAGTTCTCTAGCTTACGTCTTGGTCACGTGATCGGTCAAATTATTCCACAAGCAGCAAAATGAGTAAGAATCAGACGTCTTTGGAAAGTTTTTATGTTAAGGGGAAAAGGCCAAGTGAAGGACCTGCAAACTGCCAAGCAATGTATCCGCAACCCATTCATCAACGAATCAGGTAAATCCACTATTTTTGTGTAAGAAGATCAACTGCTGGAGTTCGCAAAAGACTATGGCCTTTTAAGGGCCGTTCGCATATCGCATCTTTTCTAGAGTCGTACAAGTTTGTTATTTACATTGTAACTTATGCTTACTAATTCATGATTTGGTTATGGTAAAACAAACACCATGTGGGTCAGGTAGTTGAAATTATAGGCTACAAATAAATTTGTTATGAATGAATGAATTACTCATAAATTCATTATTGAATAATCATTCATAAATAATTAGTTCACTGTCTATTTGTCTATGACGACGATGCCATGGTCCATTGTGATGTTTCACTTTAGACATCACACAATGCCAAACTGGTCTTCATCGCCCAACCCTAGTTCACGGTGATAAAAAGAAGTTGGAGCTAAACTACAGGACACCGACCCTCCAGGACTGAGTTTGGGCTTACCTGCGTTAAAGCATTTGGATGTCAAATTTATGCTTTTGTGTTTTATGTAAATGTCAGTATAAATCTAGACTCAAGACACTTGTCCTTGCAATAGCAGAGTGTTGTCTGCCTCCCTAACTGTATTAGAAAGTGTGTTCCAGATTTTAGGCACCTGATATGAAACGGATCTACTGCCTACAATCAATTTTCATATACTAGGAACAATCAGTTGTCTATGATTAATTGGACCTAGTGGACAGGAGCGACTGTAATACACCAGGATCTCACTCAAATTCTTTGGAGCTAAGCCATTCAGAGCATCATCAATAGTAATACTAGGATATTCTGGCAGGTGTGTTTAAGCAAGTTGGAGCTCAACTCAGGGCAATGCAGTGGCGCAGTGGTTAGCGCTGTCGCCTCACAGCAAGAGGGTCGCTGGCTTGAGCCTCGGCTGGGTCAGTTGGCAAAATGTATGATCATGTTTTATAAGGCTTTGTTTGAGAGTTTAATAAGATACAGCATCACAGCCTGATTTGGCAATTTGTCTTTGCAGCTGAGATCTAGAGTAGTTTGATTCACATTACTTGGAAAATTATTGGTGTATCAGAACAGATACAGAATATGTATGAACAGGACACAATAAGACGTGCTAAACAAATAGTTTGTGACATATAGTATCACATGTTCTGCACAAGAAGTATGAGTTGTTACCTTCGGTGAAAAGGTTCAGGGTACCTTGCTGTAGATTAAACGGATTCCTTTTTATCCGGTGAGCATTAAGCTAGTAAATAATTGTGGTGGCTTAGACTGAGAGTATCTGTTTTGCTTATGTATGTGTATAATATATGTTAGGCAGGCAACAATACAGTTAGCCCATGGTTCAATACATACATAGGTTTTTTTAACACTGTTTTCGGTTCGGTTATCATTGCTTGACGCATGTTTTTTTTTTTTCTATAGGCAATAGGAACAGTAAGAGGTTAAGGAGAAAAAAAATACAAACGATTTATTGCAACCCTCAAGGCCAAGAAAAGTACACTAGTTCACAGTGTATTGTATAAAAAAATTAACACTGAAATCTCACAGCTGCTGGTAGCCCATGTACAAACTGGGGAACACATAAAATTCTACACTTTGAAAATAAACATACATGTGAAATAATAAAGATGAATTGGCCATTTCAAATAAACATATTTGTACTTAAGTAAACATAAAAAAAAACATCTTAATTATCTCTGTGCTGAAAAAATGCGAGACTGTAGTCTGTAACACGGATCGAGTGCTTTTATAAAATGTCAAAAGCCCACATCTCCCATCACCGAAAAATCTTTAGCAAAAAAACACCCGCACTGCCTTTGTTATTTTTATGTGTCTCTCGGAACCAGATGGGTATGTTTGCTTGAAAGATTCAGCGAGGGATTGATTTGTTCACCATTTTTTTTCTTTTATTGTTATTATACTTACCGGCAAAACCGAAATGTCCTCACACCGCAGATTTGAAAGACGCCGGCGCTTTCTCGTACTGTTGCCTCACTTTGCCGGCGCTTACTTGTACTGTTGCCTCAGTCTCACTTCACTCCCGCTCGCAATGTTAAAGTGTGAAATTATAGTCAAGCGCCCCCTAACTTTTGAGCATAGTGATTGGATATTTACTCGTGGGGAGGAGTTTCCTCATCTGAGCTCATGGACTTAGAGGCACACACAGTCAGGGCAGATATAAAACCCACATAAATTATTTGAATGCAAAACCGAGAAAACTGCAATTCACAAGCACGTATTGAACCGTGGAGGTCGTACCGTACGGTTCAATATTATATTGAGAACCGTGGCACCCCTATATGGAGGCGGGCATGTAACTTTTTTGGGGCTGGGGGCTGGATGGATTTATTGATAGATTTATTTATTTATATACTCATTTGTTTTTTGTATGTTGTATTGTTTTTCCATGTTTGTGATGACTGCAGCTGAGGGCAAGAGCCCAAGACAAATTTCCCTAACTGGGACATCAAGTTTTACCCTACCTTACCAATATTAATTTAAAAATGATATGATGTTTAATAGGGAGCCTATGCAATGCTCTACAAGACTATCCAAAAGTTAGAGTTGCACAAAATCCTAAATACACTGAAAATTGTTGTTTGTCTTTGGATGTGATTTCTCATCGTCACATAATATTGGTTATAAGATGGCATTATCCATGCCATGCCAATGGAATTTTACTGGTTTCCTCTTCTAGCAGTTCCCAGAGACCGTAACACTTGGTGGACAGCACCACAGATCAAAGAAGGCTTTCAATTAGTAACCCTTTCATAGCAGATTTATGATTCCCCTGCAAGGAGCCATTGATTATGTGTATTGCTAGCGGGAATGAGCCGTCACCTCAGACCGGGCCTGTTTGGAGTCATCTGACTCTTATGCTCAATCTGCTTGAGCTATGTTGCCTGTCATAGTGTTTACAGTAAAAAAAAATGGAGCCATTTGAAAACTGGTCCAACTTGAAGAAAAGCTGGTTTTGCTAGTCTAAAGTGGCGCCTGGGGTCCTATTTCCGCCATCATTTTGTTGTTCTATTAACACTGTGGTATTTCTTATGTACAACAACAACATATGGGTATCAGTCAATGCAACTACAATTACTGACTCGTTAGCGCCAGTGAATGACTTAAAGAAAATGTCCTGCTTTAATAGAATAGTTCTGTCATTCTTGACTCTGTAGGCTGACATGCGTCTGACTTGTTTTTCAGGTGCGCAAATGCTCAAAATGAGTGCCGCCGGGGAGAATGCACTCGACCCCAACATCTTAGAGTCACGGAAGAGGAAGGGCTCTCCATGTGATACCTCTGGTCCCAGGTGAAGTATAAGATCATCTTTCCTCCTTTCGGTTCCTTTCCAGTTTATAGCGTTTCAGATTACTGAGTATTTTATAAGATCGTAGCAATTTTGGCTTTTATGTAAGACAGTGTGGCATACAAGCAGGCTACAATGCAGGCAAAGTGTGTCAGAGGAAAAACAGTGGGTATTGAATGGGAGGAAAAGGGCTTTGTTTTAACCATAAACACATACATACATACATACATACATACATACATACATACATACATACATGCATACATACATACATGCATGCATACATACGTACACGTACTGTACATACATACATACATACACACAAGCATATATATACATACAATCATACATGCATATGAATAAATTTTTTTAACGTTGTATCTTAAAAAGTCTTGGAAATGTACAATGTTGATAGTTTAGAGGCTTTTTATTTTGGTTAATCTGTTAGTTAGCTTGTCAATTATTTAAAGGGATAGTTCACCAAAACTCATTTACTCACCCTTCATTTGTTCAAAACTCATCAGAGTTTCTTTTTTTTGCTGAACACAAATTAAGATATTTAGAAAAATGCTGATTGCTGGGACCCAATGACTTCCATAATATTTTTCTTCTTTTATGCAAGTCGATGGGTACCAGCAAACATCATTCTTTAACATATCTTTTGTGCGTAAGAGAAGTTAATGAAACACATTTACATTTAGTCATTTAGCAGATGCTTTTATCCAAAGTGACTTACAAATGAGGACAAGGAAGCTATTTACACAACTAAGAGCAACAATGAATAAGTGCTATAGGCAAGTTTCAGGTCTGTAAAGTCTAAGAAGGAAAGTATTAGTAGTATTAGTATTTTTTATTTATTTATTTTTTATTTTTTTGGGTACAGTTAGTGTGATATTCAGAGAGGCAATTGCAGATTAGGAAGTGAAGTGGAGACTAAATAGTTGAGTTTTTAGTCGTTTCTTGAAAATAGCAGGTGACTCTGCCGTTCTGATGCAGTTAGGGAGTTCATTCCACCAACTGGGCAGATTGAGCGTGAGCGAAAGTGATTTCTTCCCTCTTTGGGATGGAACCACGAGGCGACGTTCATTCACAGAACGCAAGTTTCTGGAGGGCACATAGATCTGCAGAAGTGAGAGCAGATAAGAAGGAGCAAGGCCAGAAGTCACTTTGTACGCAAACATGAGAGCTTTGAATTTGATGCGAGCAGCAACTGGCAGCCAGTGCAAACGGACTAGCAGCGGAGTGACATGTGCTCGTTTAGGTTCATTGAAGACCACTCGTGCTGCTGCGTTCTGGAGCAGCTGAAGAGGCTTGATAGAGTTAGCTGGAAGCCCAGCTAGTAGAGAGTTGCAGTAATCCAGTTTGGAGAGAACAAGAGCTTGAACAAGGAGTTGAGCTGCATGTTCAGATAAGAAGGGTCATATCTTTCTGATGTTATAGAGTGCGAATCTGCACGATCGAGCAGTTCTAGAAATGTGGTCAGAGAAGTTTAGTTGGTCATCAATCATTACTCCAAGGCTTTTCACCATTTTGGATGCAGTAATGGTTGCCCCATCCATCTGGATTGAAAAGTTATGGTGAGAGTCGAGTTGGCAGAAACTACAAGCATTTCCGTTTTTGCGAGGTTCAGCTGAAGATGATGATCTTTCATCCAGTGTGAAATATCCAACAGGCAGGCTGAGATGCGAGCTGGAACCGAGGGATCATCAGGATGAAAAGAGAGGTATAGCTTGGTATCATCAGCATAGCAGTGGTAGGAGAATCCATTTCTCTGGATGACTGGTCCTAGAGATGATGTGTAGATGGAGAAGAGAAGTGGCCCAAGAACAGAGCCTTGAGGTACCCCAGTGTTTAGATGCTGTAGGTTGGACACCTCTCCCCTCCAAGACACCCTGAATGACCTGTCAGAGAGGTAAGATCTGAACCATTGTATAACAGTGCCCGCAACGCCCAGTGACTCGAGCCTAGATAGCAGGATCTGGTGGTTGACAGTGTCAAAAGCAGCTGACAAGTCCAGCAAAATGAGGACTGATGATTTTGAGTCTGCTTTAGCCAGTCTGAGATCCTCCACGACCGAGAGCAGGGCAGTCTCAGTTGAGTGGCCTTTCTTAAAGCCGGATTGCTTGTTGTCCATGAGATTGTTTTGAGTAAGAAAGTCCAGGACTTGATTGAACACTACTTTCTCCAGAATCTTGGCCATGAATGGAAGCAGGGATACTGGTCTGTAGTTTTCAAGTAGCGTATGGTCCAGGTTGGGTTTCTTTAGCAGTGGGGTTACCCTAGCCTGCTTAAATGAAGTGGGGAATAAACCAGAGTCAAGAGATGTGTTAATTATGTGAGTCAGTGTTGGTATGACTGCAGGAGAGATGGCTTGCAAGAGATGAGAGGGAATGGGATCGAGTGGACAGGTGGTTGCATGGCTAGATAAACAAATAACGGTTTAAAGCCATAAGAGGGAGAGTAAATGATAAGGTAATTTTTATTTTTTTTATAATTTTTTTAAAAATATTTTTCATTTTCCATTTTGGGTGAACTACAATTTTTTTTATCCCTTTAAATATAAAACAAATATGTATTCAGTGTTTATAGGTGTTTTTGCGATTTATAGCATATTTCAAAGGATATCTAAATATAAAATAACCACATATGTTGGGCATAATCATTATATCATGAAGTGGGCCAAGTTTTCTACTGAATTAAAATATATTTGCTTGTCATCGAGGCGGTAAATACTGTATAAGCTATGAACAATAAAAAATACTATAGTGAATACTATAGTGTTTAGAAGCATACTATACATAATGGCTTAAACTGTAATTGCTGTTGTGGTACAACTCAACTGTAGTAATAAACAAATTATTCACTAGGCTTCAGTATTCTATGGTATAATTATACACCATCACAATGCACCACACTAACGTTATTTATTACACTTTATTACTTTACTAATCTACAGTATTCTGTAGCATTCATTAACAAAGAGTTATACACATTATACACTTTACTATGTGGTTCAAAAACATGTTATTATAGCTACTATAGTTTTCCCCCATGCAGATATCTTCCAGACATCACGAAATAACAGATGAAAGCATACAAAAGTGTGTACGCATAGTCTCATTATTTTTTATTTATGTAAGAGGGAATGAACTTAACAAACTTACCATCAACAAAAATTCATCTGGATGTTCACGTTATGGTTGTTTATTCTGCCGAAACGGCAGTAAAGACTTGGATTATTGCAAAACAAGAAGGAGATTTTATAGCAGTGATTACATGCCAGGGTGCATTATTTATATTTTTCTGTAATTTGTATAAGTGTGGTGGTGTTTGTATCTGATTTTTACACATTAACATATTTTTACACATAGCTAGGTCTCTATATAGTCTTTATTGGTGCTGTCAAATGAATTATCGCGTCCAAAAAAGTTTGTACACATGGGTGTATTGAAAAAATCTCAGTTTTTTTTTTTAACTTTCGCTCCTTTATGAACAGAAACGTTTGGATGGTAATAAAAGTTTTTTGCCTTTCTTATTTTGGTGATTTAAACGATTATAAACAACATAAAACTGAAACATTTTGATGTACTGATACAATGTAGAAGAATCACTTCCTGCCCTCCATCTGAATTTTGCGTCACCAATCACGTCATGTGTGAAACACATTTACTGTACAGTCTTGCTATTTTAGGGGGTGTTGACTAACAAAACAATAACATAATACTATTAATTTTTTCTATTAAGGGTGTTAGGGAAGTAAGAAAAGGCTGACTTTAAGTCTTAAAACTTAAAATGAGTTTAGCAGTTATTCAGATATTAAAGCTTGTTTTTAAAAGAAATTAATTGAAATGTTACAATAATGGTGATAGTTTGGACACTTATTTTATTATTTAATTTAAAAATTATTTAATATATTTTTTAAGTGCGTACTAAAATACTTTAAATGTTACAATAGAAGAAACTATTTAGGTATTTTTTTCTAGTAGATCCTAGTAGTCCTAAATACTTTTTCAAACTATTAGTTTTATGAAATATTTTGAAAAAACAATGTATGCGAAAGAGCAACGTTTTCCACACTTTTTACGTTGCAATTTTAATAGCTTTTGGTAGTATTGAAAATAACAGTATGATAGGGAATATGATCATGACTGCACTCAAACTCCAGTTCCTACAAACAACAGCCTGATATATGCTAAATACTGGGTTGTTTTTTTTGGTGTAGTGGAGCACACCAGCACATTTTCTTGAAGGTTTCCTTGTGTCAGGGTTGATTGGAGGAGAACTGGTCTGTCTGGCCGAGTGATCCTCTTCCATAGGGCCTTGGTGGGGCTGATGTAACTGCCTGTTTCTACAGCAACCCCACGCAGCGCCCTGACCTGTGTATGAGCGCGCCTGCGCACAACCTTAGCAAGGCACTGACCTACTTTCTGTGCTGTCTTCTCCCACACACACACATGGTAACATGCGCTCACTCTTGCAAGTCATTCATATGTACATGCACTTGCTCACCCAGGAGAAGCACAGCCTCAAACAGATAAGCACTTTCCTCCATCCTCAAACACGTACAGCAGCCATTGGACACTGCACACACTCTCACACACACACATTCTGGAGGAAGGGAAAGCAGGTTGTTGGTCTCTTTAAGGGTTAAATATTAAAATGAGCATTTCAGTTTGATTAGGGCTGAAAAACAACATTAGCAACAATGGCAATGAAAGAATGCTGGAAAAATATTTGTGTTGTCATTCAGCTTGTTTTTTTTTTACTTTCGATGTTGTTTTGTGACATACTTTTGTTCACCTATAATATGAGAAATACATGGATGCAGCCATAATGTTTGTTTGCGGAGAACAAACAATGCCAAACCGGTGAAGTGTAGAAAGATTTTACAAAGAAGTAAATACTGTATTTTGTATTTTGATAGGATGTGATGGATTCATCGCAAGTGTGATGTACATGAGCACTGGCATAATTTTAGCAAACATTCAGACACCATTCACACTGCTGACAGTGATGTTTGCATAACAAAAAACACACACCAAAAAGTGAGAAAATGGTTTTTGAGAGCTGAAATCTGATCTTAGGAATATGAAAGCAACTTGTTTTAGAAACCATATAAATATGTATGCAAACGGTACATTTGCATTGTAAAATGCAGCTCTTTAGAATTTGCTATCTCAAGCGAGTTTTATCAAAGTATAATATACTAAGACAGACAGTGGTTCTCAAAGTGAGGGTTGGGACAATGACGGGGAGTGACCTGGTTATGTCCAAACTCAAATAATATTGTAAATAGTTATATTTTTTAAGATCAGCATGTTTTATTCATAACCTACAGAAGATAGTTAATAGTTACGTTAAAGAAACAACAACAACAACATACAAATAAAAATCCATCAACTTTTTTTAAAATATTAACATATTAAATTATTAAATGACTATAAAAATATTATAGGGTTATTAGACTGTTGCATTTTTGTGTTGTCAATATGCTTATGTTGATGTAGCTCTGTGTGCAAAGTTTTTTATTTACAGTATAACCACCTTGAAATGTGGTGGATTTGTTTATTACATGTATATAATAAGTAATATACAATGTGTGTGTGTGTATATATATATATATATATATATATATATATATATATATATATATATATATATATATATATATATATATATATATATATATATATATATATAGACCTTTGCATGATTCAGTCTAGGTCTAGTTGGATAAACAATATTATATTGAATTGCGTTGAAATTTAAAATGGCCATGTAAAAATTTTATTTATGTCAATAACAATTATGAGCTCTGGACTTATTTTACTCTATGTTGATCTCCATAGATTGATCAGCAAAAATGTGCAACAATGAAAATCTACAAGTTTGTTGATATTAGAGATGTACCAAAATATACGATATAAATATCGTACGAAAATGTTATTTTATTTAATGGACCCTCTCATTTTTGTGGCTTCAGTCATTGTTGGAGTACTCTTTTCAATATTGAACCAGAGCTTCCCACACATAGACTTTACTTGGGCGGGCCACCCAGATATATTAACGGCTGCCCATGTATATTTAGTGACACATTTTTTGTTTTACTATTACCATCATCCTATTACACTTTTTTTTTTTTTGTATATGCCCAATATAATCAAACATCCGCGATCGATTAACTAGCAGAAAATCTTCTCTGCTTTACCTGTTTCATACTGCTCACCATTGCACCATTAGAAATGGGTAATAAACTCATTTGTCTTATTTAAACAATCTATACGTTTTATTTTTGCAATTATTATACTTTTTCGAAATAATGTCTGTTTTTGTTTCTTTTTTTCTTTCATTCATTCCTCGTTTGCTGTATATTTTATTAATTTGATGATGTCAATAGATCACATACTGTAGTTTAGGCATCTAAAATGCTTTGGCAATACTGTAAAAAATGTCATGCCAATAAATCAACCTGAACTTGAATGAGAGAAAGAGAGGAGCAGATTTTACCTGTCAGTGGGTGCACACGGCTCCTGAATAGCATTTATTTCAGCAGTCTTTTTTTTTTACTTTAACCTATTGAAAAGAAAAAGTTTAAAACAGATAATATTAAAAATAGTGTTAAAAATCTAATTATGTTTTGTTTGTTGCATAAAGTTAACTATTTAAGTGCTGTGGGCAAAGGTGTGTTTCAGTCCAGCTACCACCGCAAGTATATTTCAAACCTGTGGGAAGCACCGTAGAACAATTAACAATTTGCATCAGAATATATATTGTTATCCTTCAATATGGACAATAATTATTGAGATTGTATATTTGCCATATGGCCCAGCCCTAATTCACTTCCCTACAAAATCATCCCGATCAATCTGAATGACTTTGCAAATAAAGTTTGCCATGTGGTGAAATTGTATTCAAATCACAATATAAATCGCAGAGCTAGAAATTATCACGATGGCAGATTTTTTCAATATCGTGCAGCCCTATCATTAACTCACCCTTCACTTTGTTTCTTTGCTTCATTGTGTTTCTGCTTTATTTATTTATTTTATTTTTTTTGGAAAAATGTTGCAAACCTGTAACCTTTGAATCAATCCATTTATCCTTACATGTCCCGCATCCTTTAACACAATCTCACGCTCTCATTTCTGTACGCTTTATCCAATTGAGCAGCGACTGCTGAAGAACAAACACTGAAACTCCCTTATTCTGTGTCCTCAACGCAGTTCACACCTGCAATCAGAGGGCTTATTCACCTCGCCTTCTCCAATCTTTTATTTTGATTGCATGATAAATGGACTCGCATCCAAAGCCTTTGCATTCCATTGATATCTAGCATTACTTCACCGTAGCCTCTGACCATCTGTCTTGTTCACCCCTATTCAGCCTTTCTGCATCTCCTCTCAGCTTGATAACCCATGTGCGGAGTAAGCCTTTGAGGAATGCCTGCTAGTGCAAGGACTGTACGCTGCCCCGACCCTTATTAGCTCGACAATGATACGTCTGTATAAAAGTGTGTGTTTTTGCCTTGCTCTGGTAACAGGCCACCCACAGTTTGTCCCTGTGTGCACCTATAGTTTCTCCGCTCACCCAGCATTCCTCTTTTTTCTTTTCCCAGAATCCTTTGCCTCTTTCAGGTGGTAGAGAGCTAAATACACGGAGCAGTTTGGGATCATAGTGCTTTCTGTGGGTCATGAATTATTCAGGCCGCTAGTCCTTGTAGAATGGCCCACTCAGCCTCGGTGCCAAACTTGACCACTTCAAGGCTTTGTCTTAAAAACATCATAACAGAGCAGCAGCATGCTGGGTTTTTTCTTCTTTTTCTTTTGTTCTTTTTTTCCTCCAAGTGTGGTTGGTTGTTCATGTGCCAACAGAGAAAGGGAGAGCTGATTGTTAGTCTTTAAGTTCAAAGATTGAAATAATTATTTTTGCTAAGAAGATGATGATTTTTTTGTTATGATGCATAGCCATGCATTGTTTAGCCATTATTAATTTATTTTTCCCTCCCAGGTAACTGAGATTTTGAGAAAAAGAATGAGTTAATATTTTGAGTATTTTAATATCAAAAGAGATATTTCAGTTGATTTTGTTTCATTTTAAATTCATGGAAGATATACCTCAAAAAATTGTATGGTTACTTTTTAAATGTAGATGGTATTTTGTATTTTGAAAGGCTGTGATAGATTCATCGCAGGGGTAGAAAGTGTTGTAAATAACCAGCAACATGGTTTTAGCAAACATCCTAACATCATTTACACTGCTGACAGTAATGTTTGTGTAACCTACTGGTTTTACTGCACCTACTATGAGCTGAGATCAAACCAGTGGCACTAGCAAGGAGGCTAAAGACCTTGGCCTATAGCATCTGTCACTAAAGCACCTTTTGAGGTCAGAGGGATGAGGCTTACCTGCATAGCACTTCGCTAGCTGGCCTCCATGAAACTCAACCCCCCTAAACCTCATTCCCATCCCGGACGAGCCCCCAAGTATAACCCCCCAGTCCTACTGCACCCAACCTGGTCTGTGCTGGGATTGAAACTGCGGTTCTTTGTATGGGAGTTTGTTGCTCTAACAATAAGGCTTAGGACCTTGGCCTCTAGCGTCTGTCACTAGAGCACCTTTTGAGAGGACTGAGGTTTACCTGCATAGCACTTTGCTAGCTGGCCTCGGTTAAACTCACCCTCTAAACCTCATTCCCATCCCGGACGAGCCCCCAAGTGTAACCCACCAATCCTACTGCACCCAACCCAGTCTGAGCTAGGATTGAAACGGCAAATTTTTTGAAAGTGAGTTTTTTGTTCTCAAAGGTGCTTAAAGACCATGGCCTCAATCATCTGTTGCTAGATCACCTTTTGAGGAGCGAGGTTTACCTACATAGCACTTCGCTTGCTGGTCTTTGTTAGACTCACCAACCTCACTCCCATCCCGGATGAGCCTCCAAGTGTAACCCACCGGTCCTACTGCACCCAACCCGGTCTGAGCTGGGATCAAACCGGTGATTCTTTGTGTGGGAGTTTGTTACTCTAACAAGGAAATTAAAGACAGTGACCACTAGTGTCTGTCACTAGATAACCTTTTGAAGTCTAAGGATTGAGGTTTACCTGCATAGGACTTCGTTAGCTGGCCACCGTTACACTCACCAACCTCACTCCCATCCCGGACGAACCCCCTGGTGTCACCCACCGGTCCTACCGCACCCAACCTAGTCTAAGCTGGAATTAAACCAGTGATTCTTTGTATGGGACTCGTTTGCTCTAACAAGTCACTGTCAACATGGCAAAGATAAAATAAACCAGTTATTAAAAATAAGTTAGTAAAACAATTTGGTTTAAAATGTGTTGAAAAAAATCTTCTCTTCATTAAACAGAAATTGAAGAAAAAAATAAACAGGTTGGCTAATAATTCAGGGGGGCTAATAATTGTGACTTTAACTGTATGTATGTATATATATATATATATACATTCATATAAATGTATATGAAACAAAATTATTTTCCTTACATTTTACGTAGAAAGTAGACAGGTAAAAAAATAGGTAATATTTACATAATAATCCTGCACGCATTAAAATATATAAAATTTGTGATGATTTTACACATTTTCTTTCTTTCTGCTTATTTTGAATGATTCAAAAATGCACAATTGGGTAAAACATACTGGCTAGTTGTATAAATATTTAAAATTAAATAGATTTGTATTTAATCAGTTTAATATATTTATCTATATATTCTGTTATATTTTTTTCTTTTGATGCTTGCAAACTCATTTTAATATTTCACTCATATATTTCAATATGTGAATACTTCCAAAATATTTCAAACTAGATTAAATTTTTATTGGGAAGTATCTTGATTTTCTGAGTACACAAACAAATGCAAAAATCTCTTGTTTGTGTGCTTTCTGGCAGTGTGGAGAAGCGGCGGCGGGAGCTGGAGTGCCGCTACATTGATGAACTGGCTGAGTTACTGTCGGCCAACATGAGCGACATTGCCAGCTTGAACGTGAAGCCGGACAAATGCCACATCTTAAAAAGCACCGTGGACCAGATCCAGCAGATCAAACGGCGCGAGCAGGGTGAGTAGCCAATGTCTGGGCTTTTCCTTTGGGACTGTGTGTAGGCTGCGTACAACTATTTCCATTCACTTTACAGTACAGACAGAAAATTGACACCTCGCATGATTTGACCGGTCAATTTAGTTGCTGATTTTAGTGTGTATAGTATTAATGAAGTTCATTTGTTGACATCCCTAACCTGATTGGGTTTCTTCTGTCATGTTAAAATAAATTGAATTTTGACACAAACAACAAAAGGTTTAACTCTAGTTGTTGGAGCTGTAAATCAGCTCCAGAGTGGAGAAAACGACATTGTTTTCTTGTCACTTCTTTTTTAGTAACCTATAAATCAGTTGTGCAAGGCTTTTACTGAGATATTTTTGTGTGCCTTTTTGGTTCGTTTAAGTAACTGGACATATCTCCTGGACAAAGCCATAAAATGAAGAAGGCATATAATATGTTTTAGATGCTATTATTGATGAAGTCCATTTTTAAAGAAATATGCCAATCATATTATGTCATATCATATCATATATCCTATCATATCATATTGTATATCAAATCATATATATCATCATATATAATATAATATATCATATCGTATATTAAATCATATCATATATCATATCATATTGCATATCAAATCATATATATATATATATATATATGTATATATATATATATATATATATATATATATATTATATCATATCATATATATATTATATCATATCATATATCAAATCATATATATCATCATATGAAATATATCATATCATATATCATATCGTATATCAAATAATATATATCATCATATATCATATCTCATATCATTTCATTTGAATTTTTTATATGGTTCATTTTGTAGCAGTTCCTTTTTTTTTTTTTTTTTTTAAAGGAAGAAGACATAGTACAGGTTTAGAGGCAGATCTGCAATGAAGTATTTTGGCTTTGTAAGACTGGTTGCTTAAGATTGTTGAGTTCACTTGGTACATATATTTCTTTAGGCATGCCTTTATCAATGCCATAAAGCATGCAGTGAGTCAAAGGACTAAATTAAAGATAGACCGTATATTAGCATCTTCACTTGCATCATCAGTTGTTTGCTTGTTAATGAATGTAAGCATCCACTGTGTTGGCTTTCAAAAGTGTCTACTTAGATTTATTTTAGATTTATTTACTCTAGATTTATTGCATTTAAAAATCAACACTAATCACAACTAACACAGAAATAAAAAATATATGCATGCACCCACCGGCCCTGCACACACTGCTTGACACGAATGAATCTTAGTTGACAATAATAACTGTGATGTGTTTTTACAGGTGGTGTCTGATATTGCACAGATGCTATTGACATATAACTTATTATTTGCATGCGTCATCTTAATAGCAATATTGGTCTTTTTATGAGCCGCAATAATAGTTTAATATTTTTGTGGTTGTGTATTTACGCGGTATGACATTGTACATGTACAGTAGCTGCTATTCGCATGGCTGACAGCATCCTGACCATTAAACGAAGGATTAAGTGAATGCTTTCATAGCAGAATTTAACCCAGTGGAAGTCATTTATCCATTCTTTGAAAAGTGTAAATGGTGGATTAACGTTCACCACATGATCACTAATCAGATGTGCCATTATTTGTAACTGTAGGTGGTTTCCAAACCGAAATCTGTCAGTGTTGTTTTCATTCTCTCATCTTCAGCTCTTTAGATTTTCTTGTCATTTTAGATTGTAGCTCCCTGTCATCTGACGGCAGAAAGCATTAACTGAGTGATTGACAGCTGATATTAACCAATCCTTTCGTGTTCAGTTCTAGAGCAGTCGGCCTATCAGAAGAGCTTGAAGGCCGGGCAAGCATTTTGGGCTTTGCTTACTGTGTAGTAAGTTGACAAGACAACTGTTTTAAACTATTCCTGAGTGCTGCGTTTCAGGTGCAAAGATGCATTCTGTGTGAATGTCTCTTAAGTCTTTTTGCAGTGAAAACCGGTCATACAGCAGCAAATTTAGGCACTTGCATAAATGCTCCCATATATATATTTTAAGGGTTGCATAGGTAAAAAAAAAAAATTGCGACCAAAACAGTCGCAGTTTTGAGCCTTGCATTCACACATTGAGACACTTGTTCACTTAAAGTCATTATTTTAAAAGCAGACACGTGCAAATAGAGAGAGGAAGTGGCGCCCCTCATGCTTTCCACACATTTAAACTGACATGTCAATGTCTGCATAAACCACAATAGAGAACATACAGTAGATTCTGTTTGCTGTTTTGGTACTTTTGACAACAGAAATAAATGTGTACTATAAGGAACCATATCGCTCGGTGAAAACAAGCCTTAATTTGAATTCAACACAGACCAAAGACATCGACGAACCAAAAGCAGAACATGATGACAAAATGATCTTTATATTTGCTTTGTTGCCTATACCAGTTTAATACATTTGTATAAAACACATCTCAAACGCATCTCTAAAACACAGATTTGAATTTGTTTTTAATTGCTAAATTGGGTCTAAAATGAAAGTGTGAACACATTATTATTAATACAGTATTAATAACTTTATTGAGCAAGATAGAAGTTATGGGATTTCACCAGTAAGGTGTGAATAATCTTGTAGAATCGTGTGACAAAAATGCTTTCGTGATTAACCTAGAAAAAACAGAGGAATCTTGTTCAAGTCCACAACTTCAACAATGTGTCTACAAACCCTGTAGTTATACATAATGTAAACATCAGGTAGACAAATATAAGTACTTGGGAGTAATAATAGATCATAATAATAGTGTGTGTAAAAAGATAAAACAAAGAATCTATTTTTTTGCATTGTCTTAGATCCTTTGGAGCATCAAAAAAGATTCACAAACATTTTCTTGTCTGAACTTGTTCTTGAGTGCTTTGCAGTATTGTAATTCTGTATGTATTCTGTCTGAGAGTCGATGAACCAGGTTTAAATCTTTTTAAATCTAAAGATAGTAGGAAAGCCTTTTGAGAAATTATATGACCATTCGTATTACAAGAGCCTCACAAGGCTGGCAAGGAACATCATTTGGAACACTAGTCATGTGTTAAATCAAGTTTAACCATCGATTTAAAGTCCCAAGTTTTAATATAGTGAAACTAAAGAAGTCATTTGTACATCAAGATGTTTTGGAGCTGAATAAGGTCTTGGTAAAATTATTATTATTTTTATTATAATTTTTTTTTGAATGTTTTTATCTCTTTGTGAGGAGTATTTATCATGCAGTTATGCAAGAAAAGGTTTTATTTTGTATTGTAGTGTATTTTATTGTATGTACTGAAGAAAACCAGGCTAAATGTATCATTTTCTCTTTTTTTTTTTTTTTTGGTTTGGACCAAATAAACAAAGAGAACTAAAAAGCCAAATTGTGAAAACATCCTTTAACCAATTCACCAAAGCATACATAAGTTCTCAGAGAAAAGCTTTAGTTTATTTAACAACAAGACCTCTGAATGGTTAAATATTTCCAAAGAGCAACTGGCGAGACCTTGAATTGAGTAAAGTCCTTGTGACCCAAGCTCCTTGCCTTATCAGCGGTTGCTTTATTTGTTAGTTAGGGGATTATTTCTGGTTGACCTTAAAGCAAAACCAATGTAGTATTCATTTGATTGAAGTAGCCGATGCATGAAACTTGGCAGTATTTATATTTGCCTCAGAAACTGATTGTTTACTGTCGCCTTTATTTCCCCCCAATGAGAGAAACCTTGAGAACTTGAAAGCGATTTGAAGTGTGAACAAAGCATGTCGGCTAGATCCAAATCGCCACTGATATCCCACACTTGAAAGCAATCGGGACCATGCATACGGTCGTTCTTCATTTTGACAGTGGTAAACATGTCATCTTGTGATTTGCAGGCCTAAGAAAGGGTCTCGTTGGCATGGCAAGCTAAGGAGCCCTTGGAATAGAGAATATCACTTATGCAAAGAGGCCATGAGAGGATGTTTATCCAGAGATCTAAAAATTCATCAGTGTCAGAAGACTGTGGGGTCTGCATATTAGGCGAGCAGGCACTGGCTAGCACAAACATTTTAAGCTGTCTCTGGTTTCTTTGCCGGACTGTAATGTATACAGCATAATCCTTTAAAATGGCATTTGACAGATAGTTGCTGGAACCGCTCTGCTATATCTGGCACATCTGTAAGCGCTGTTGGAGGAAATGCATTATTGTTATTAGCTTTTTTTAAACTAAGATGTAAAAAATGGATTAATGTGCGTGTTGCATAGGTGATTGCAAGATGATGTATTGCTCAAGAAGGAAGCCTAATTAGTATCGTTGACTATATAAAGAAGGATGATTTCTGTGATTTGTGTGCTAAATACATACATTTACATTTACATTAAGTCATTTAGCAGACGCTTTCATCCAAAGCGACTTACAAATGAGGACAAGGAAGCAATTTACACAACTAAGAGCAACAATGAATAAGTGCTATAGGCAAGTTTCAGGTCTGTAAAGTCTAAGAAGGAAAGTGTTAGTATTTTTTTTTTTTTTTTACAGTTAGTGTGATATTCAGAGAGGCAATTGCAGATTAGGAAGTGAATATATGCAGCTTGTTGCACTCACATCTGCATAATTTCAACATTTTTCTGATATCAAGATTCTTGAAAGTACTTGAATTTCCGACATATGGATTCGAGGGCTGGAAAGTACTTAAAAACAAATATCAGTTCTTGAAATTGCTTGAATTTAAAATGTATGGTGTTATTTCAACAATTGTATTGTGCTGCTTTCAAAAACTGAACGAAACTCATTTGGGAATCTGTGTTAAAACAATTAGGTAGATGTTTGGGATTTAATATCCCTCTCTCACCCTGGAATCTTTTAGGTGACAAAACTGAGGTTTCACATGTTACAAATGATGAGTTCATCCTTATAATTTTGGGCATTACTACAGCAGCACGTATAATACTGAGGTTTTGGAAGGATATTTAATACCCTTGACTTAAATTATGGATGGAATCCATGATTGATATTGCATCATATGAGAAAATG